ACCTTAGGCATGAAGATTGACTGGATACAGGAGCAAAAGGAGATCACGATGAAAACCTTCGCACATCAGAAACTCCCACTGGCAGCAAAGAAAGATAGAGTAGACTGCAACACCCTAAACCAGGACTGGATGAGATGACATACTGTAATTTTGTGTGAAATGGTGAATTAACTATTTTACCTACTTTTCTTGTCAAACGGATGATGTGCAATTATAACACAGATAATCAAACAGATAGTCGATCAGAGATATTACCAGATAAAGAAAAGTGCGGAAAAGGTAAACAAGCAACACAAGATTTGGTTACCCAGTTCGATATAATGCGTATCTACATCTGGCGGACGATCACTGATCCGTCCAATCCACTAACTCAACTTCAAAGTACAAAGGTGGAGAAGTACAATCTCACCCGAGTTACAATACAAGGTAAGTACCCAATCTACCTTGAACTTAGTGGATTGTGAAGCCGGAGATCTACGCACTCAGAGGTCCACGAAAGTCCCTTCCATGGAGACCAGTCTCTGGTGCAGTCCGGTTCATGACAGGATCCTTCACTGCATCCAACAGCTGCGTGATCTTGGTGTCCACTGGTTTAAGCTCAGAATGTTCTTCTCAAATTCATCAACTCAGATCACCATGAATAACCAGTCTTGAGAAGAGCTTTTACGAACCAGAGAGAGAACGTAATACTCAAGTGCTTTCTTCTTGATTCTAGAGTGTATCGGATGGATTCATTAGTCCAACAATGAATCAGCACTTTTGAATATATAGTCTCTGGTTCAGGGAGGTATCCGTAATCTGTTACAACCAACTACTTCTTAGCAAGACTACGTAGATACCCCTTTGAGGTGAGAAGAGGAGCAAGGTCATTCTTGTAAAAACACCTCAAGGCATAACTGCCTTCTGCCAGCGCATATGCTGCTTAGACAATTAGTCTTTTTGTCAGCTTCTAGTCTTCACATAAGCTTCTGATGCATTCCCTGATCAATCAGGTCTTCAGCTTCAATACTTCAGACTAACTCTGACACGGCCTAACTAGTTTGTCATAATAATAATAAAGGCAATTACAAAGTTGGGGTTTACCTATCTAACCAAAACACTAACACATACAAACGCTACCTTTTCCCCAGAAAGCCAAATGACCGGGTGCGGTGGTGTGTTGCGTGATCACAAAAGGAAATGGCTAAGGTTTTTCAGCTGCATGACAAAGACCAAAAATGCAATAGAAGCCGAGTTGTGGGTAGTCTACTTGGGCCTTAAGTGGGCATGGGATCAGGGGAAGAGAAAGCTTCACTTACTAAACGATTCACAACAAGCCGTTGAATGGATAAATGGAAGCCCCGATCTTCTGGGTCATTGTGGCACCTTAGTTAAATGGAGCAAAGAGTGGCTAGAGAAGGATTGGACAGTTATCGTTGATTATACACCTCGCGAGAATAATGGAGTTGTTGACTGGTTGGCTAAGGAAGCTCCTAGAAGACAATACGAGTGGATTGAATTCCAAGGATAGTGATACAACTGCTACCACCCCACCCCTTCTCGTTCTCCCAAAATAATAATAATAATAATAATAATAATAATAATAATAATAATAATAATAAAAAAGTATTCAACCATTTTGGATTTTCTCTAACTTATTAGTAATATTTTTAACATAATGTCAATTGTAACTGGGATTGGACTATTGAACTATTTTAAAAAATATACTCCCTCTATCCTATTTTATGTGTCGGTTCGATTAATGAGACTTACTGAAGTTATTTACAATTTAATTTCTTATAATACCAAGTACATAATTAGTATGTAAAATTTATATATTTAGAAACTACATTAAAAGAACTATTAAACACACAAAAAAAAAATCAAATTTAAAAATGGGAAAATGGCACTTTTTCCCCCTGAGTTATATACCTATAGCATTTTTTCTCCCTGAATTATTGAAGTGGCTATTTTTCCCCCTGAAATGTTAAATGGACATATTTACCCTTAAAATAAATATTTCATTTATTTTTTTCTCCAACAAATTATGACCATAATTTGGTTCAAACCAAACAAACACTATAGCAACCAAACTGAAATATTCCAATTACAATTTAGAATCGAAACCCAATATTTAGAGTTTATTAAAATCGTGAACCGGAACGGACGGTTCATGTTCCGAACTAAAAAAATAAAATACATTTATTGTTGAATTTAGACTATTTTAAAATAAAGACAGTTCAAAATCGCGAACCGGATCCGGAATCACCGGTTCACGGTTCAAGATTCAATTTTTTTGATACATACTTTTAATAAATTGACATCTAAATATTGGGTTCTAGATCTGAATCATAACCGGAAACTTTTAATTCGATTGCTTTAGTGTCCGGTTCAGTTCAAACCGAACTGTGGACATCCCTACGTATACGCAATAATTTGTTGGAGAAGTAAAATAAATAAAATGTTTACTTTAAGGGTAGAAATGTCAATTTAATATATCAAGGGGGAAAAAGCACCACTTTTTAAATAATTGAGGGGGCTAATGTGCTTACCTAAATAATTGAGGGGGGAAAAGTGCTATAAGTATATAACTCAGGGAGAAAAAAGTGTCATTTTTCCTTTAAAAATTATAAGAAAATGCTAATAGAAAAATAAGAAAAAAGAAATAATTAGTTTGATCAATAAATAGTAAGTAGGTTTAGACAAAGTAGGTCTTACGAACAAAAAATAGCTGAGAAGAAGAAATCGCCATAGGATCATCTACCAGCTAAAGTATATGTTGGACTTTGCAAGGTAAATTGAGTAGATATTCAAGAGTGTAAAATCGAAAGCGCAGCGAAGACAGTGAACGAGTGAACATTCTGGAAATGGATTGCCTAGCTGAAGATGCAAGGCAATGTATCAATTAGGGGGATGTGAGGCTATTTTGGTAAATTTCAATACCTTTCCCTTAATAATATTAATATTAATTAATTAATGTTATATTTTAGTATTAGCATAGAATGTTTATAAGTACATTGCCTTAAAATTAATATAGTAATATATTAATATTAATATTAATATTATATAAGATTAATATTAATATTAATATTATATAAGTAGTGAATTAGTGGACTATTAAAAATATTAATAATATTAATACTACTAATAATAGTAATATTATTAGGGTTAATAATAATATTAATATATTAGGGTTAATAATAATATTAATATATTTCATTTACTTTTGAATTAGTGACTCTCTTTTAATATAATTTCATGAGATAATATTATAAGAATTTAGAGAAAAAAAAAAAAAAAAAAAAAAAACGGGTGACACAAACTTAGGCTCTGTTTGGCAGAGCTTATTTAGAAGTTTATAGCTTATTTTAAACTACTAATAAGCTATAAGCTCTGTTTGATAATGTTCTTAAGCTTAAAATAAGAGCTTATTTTAGAACGCTAACTTACGTAGCGTTTCAAAATAACTTCATAACTTTTTTTTTTTCCATCTTGTCCTTATTATTTTTAAAGAAATAACATCCTTCACCCTTTTCCAATTAAAACTCTTTTATCTTCTCTTTTATTCGCAACTTTCACCGCAATTATTATTATTATTATTATTATTATTATTATTATTATTATTATTATTATTATTAGATTCACAACAATATTACTAATTCATTATGGGATGCTAAATCATAATTATGCTAATAGTTTTATTTTAAAATGTTAAAACTGCTTGCCACCTACGCTCCGCCATCCATTCCAAGTTTAGGAGAGTCAAGGATTTGCTGGGAATTCCGGATCGAAGAAGAGGCAGATCAAACCACCTACGCTCCGCCATCCATTCCAAGTTTAGGAGAGTCAAGGATTTGCTGGGAATTCCGGATCGAAGAAGAGGCAGATCAAAATATGGTGCGGAAAAACTTTTTAAAGATAAAATATTAAATTTTAATATGTAAACAAACTAATTTAAATTTTATGAAAGATGTCATTTTTTGTCTTTTTACATTTATCAGCTTATCAAAAAGCTAATTTTACCAAACACTTTCAAGCATAACAGCTAGCTTAACAGCTCTTCAGCTAGGTTTACCAAACATAGCCTTAATAATTCAACATAATTATTATTTCAAAAAAAAAAAAGAATAAACAAATAAAAAAATTTTTATTTGTCATGCGGTGAATGTTAATAAACAATTTATTAACATTGAATAAATAAATGTTAATATTTAATTAACTTTACTTAGTCTATAAATATTATGTGTGCATGGGGACAATTACTTGTACTAGTAGTAATAATAATGCTGAAAAATTTAGAGTTGGAGTTCAACTTTTGGAAGAATAAAAATGCTGAAAAATACTTCGTTTACTAGGGTTAATATATTACTACTTCGTGGACAGATTTTAAGAATAATATATTAGGGTTAATAATAATAGGAATAAGGTTCAAATTGGCCACTGAACGTAACATGAAAATGCAATTAGGCCACTGAACGAAAAAAAAGTGCAATTAGATCATTGAACACTCAAAAAATGTGCAATTAGGCTACTGAACTCTCCAAACGTATGCAATTTTACCGGATAGCAAGTTACCATCAATTTTAGTAGGTTACCTGCTTACGTGACAGCTTAGTTGGCATTTTTAATAATTTTTAAATAATTTTTAATAATTAATTTTAATAATAAATTTTATAAAAAATTGGAAAAATTAAATAAAAAATAAAATAAAGTCGTTTTTATTTTTTTTAAAATTTTTTTAATAAAAAGTTATTATTAAAATTTATTAAAAATTAAAATTTATTAAAAATGCCAACTCAGCTGCCACGTAAGCAGATAACCTGCTAAAATTGAGGTAACCTGCTATCAAGTGAAATTGCACATTTTTGGAGTATTCAGTGACTTAATTGCACTTTTTTTTTTGTTTAGTGGCCTAATTACATTTTCAGGTTACGTTCAGTGGCCAATTTGAACCTTATTCCATAATAATATTAATATATTTCGTTTACTTTTGAATTAGTGACTGCTCCAACTACATTATCTCTTACCCACTCACCGGCTACCACCAAGTCACCAACTAAAAGTTTCCGCTTCATATAAATATAACCAATTTTGAAGCGTGAAGCACACCTACCTACCTCCACAATCTCCAGACTCCATTGCAGACAAGGAAGACCAAAGCCCGCTCATCTTTGCTTTCACCTTGTCCCTCGCCTTCCACGGTGCAGGTAAGCTAATGAAATTCGTTTGATTTTTTTTTTTTTTTTTTTTTTCAGTTTCGTTTAAGCTTCAATTTGATTACGACTGCAATTGGATTATAGTCTGAGTTATTAGGTAGGCTATTTAGTTAAGCAATTTCACAATCTGATTTATTAAATGGCTGAAATTCCTGTTTTTTAAATTTGTTTATAGCAAGCTTATTAATTGATAAACGGTTAAAATGAGTAAAACAAGTATTCTTTTGTTCATTTATTGTTGTGTTTTGAAGATTAATGTGAAAATGACAAGTTTCTGAGGGATTTGCGTGCAATGAATGTGGTGTTTAATGGGATTTCTGTTTTTGCAGAGATAGTATAGTGACGAATTAAGGTTATTGATCAATTGAGAGGAATTGGAGGAGTAGGATTTATGGAGGCAAAAATTGCAAGGAGTTTTCAACTCACCCCATGGATTAGTTCAGAAAATAGACTGCCAAAGTCGAATGGCTCGCTGAGTTTTTCCAAGTGTCAGACCAAACATCGGAGAAGTCAGATGTTTATTTCCTGTCACTTTCAACCTATAAAAGCCAAGAGTTGGCACAGACCATGTTTGCTGACGGCTTCATGTTCTTCTCAGAATTCTCAAGGTAGTTCTCTCTGTACTATGATATGGCATTTTGTCTCCAGATTGTATACTCAGTATTTCTTAAAACAATTACTTCATCACAGCACCGAGATTATTTGTACAATGTTAATGGATTCTCTGTTGCTAGATTCACAAAAGCTGATTAGCTTCAATTTAATTAGGAAAAATGTAGGATTGCCTTCACTATAAGAGTTCCCTAGTAGCCCTGTTATATTATCCTCATTGTATTAATGAAATAAACCAAAGTCTTTTATGACTTTTCTATTATGCTACCTGTTGGGGTTATGGGTTACAGCCACAACCGGGGTCCAATGGATGGTTCAATAAGAGAAGGCCTGGTCTGGACAGAGAAAGAGGCGCTCACTCAGAGGAAGGGGGAAAAAGTAATCTGGAAAGGGACACGTGGCTGGACCACGTAGCGGTAGCACAACACAGTGACAGTGGTACAGCTAGCAAAGATGGTGGTGCAGAGAAGGCAGAGCATGGTCTGGTGCACCAGTCCTTGGCTGACAACTCCTACTCACAAGTATAAATAGAGTGGAAAGAGACTTGGAGAGGGGATCCAATATAGAGAATATTGTTACACTGTCACTTTGATCTCACTATCCTTGTAATATTTGGGTTTTCCTTCTTGTAACAAACAATACTACTTGGGAAGAGATACTCGGGAAGTGACCCTTTTCAAAGCCAGATCCTTCTCTTCTTTCATTGTTTTCCTTAATCTTTGTTGTTAAGTGAGTGCTAAATCACAGCACCCCCAGGTCCAAAAAAACCCTAGCCAGCTCCAATTCTCTCTAAACTGAACTTCCTTGCTTTCTCAGTCGCTGAAAATGGAGTTTTGGGGTGTTGAGGTAAAAAGTGGAGAGCCTCTCTCTGTAAAGCCTGGAGATGGCATGGTCTTGCACCTTTCACAGGCTAATCTTGGTGAGGTGAAGAAACTGCATGGTTCTGAATCTGTTTGCTTGTTTGTGAATGTTGATGGGAAGAAATTAGTTCTTGGAACTCTTATCTAGATAAGCTTCCCCAGCAACAATTTGACTTAATTTTTGACAAGGACTTTGAAATTATCACACAACTAGAAGAATGGAAATGTCTACTTTTATGGATTCAAGGCTCAAAATCCAATTGCAGATGATGATGATGATCAAGAATCTGATTCTGATGAGGATAGTCCCCCCACCTTCAAAGAACCTGAGACTGTTGTTAAGCCAGAGAAACAAGCTGGTTCAGAGAAGTCTGATTTTGCAAAGAGTTCTGCGTCAGATAAGAAAGTGAAAATTAAGGAGCCGCATAAAGATGTGAAGGCTAAGGAAGATGAAAGCAGTGATGAATATATGGGTTCTTCTTCTGATGATGATTTGTCTGATGAAGATATGGATTCCTCTGATGGTGAGGATGAGGATGAGAGTAACGAGACACCCAAAAAGGTTGAATCTGGCAAGAAATGGCTTGCTGAATCTGAGAAGGCACCTGCTTCTGATAAGAACAAGAAAGCAAAAATGGAAACTCCTCAAAAAACTAGTGGCAAGAAAAGCAGTGTGCATGTGGCTACTCCTTACCCTTTAAAACAGGCTAAGGCTGCTGCAAACAAGCCAAATCAGCCAACTCCAAAATCAGCTGGCTCTCATACCTGCAAGTCTTGCAACAGGACTTTGGTTCTGAAGTTGCTCTTAATTCCCGTACAAAGGCTAAACATAGTTCTGGAAAGTGATGAGTATACACTATACAGAGAGCTTAAATGTCTCTGCATTGCTTATAGTCCTGGCTTACTCATTAGCTTTTTGTGGTTCACCTAATGTAAAGGCCACTCTTGTTAGTCTTTTAGCTGTAGCATATTGGTACTGGAGTTGTCAGGTGGGCTGCTCTTGGGTTAAATAGGATCTAAAATTATACTCATCTCTGCTTTATTTAAAAAAAAAAAACTGGACATATTGAATGTACATGAAGACACACATAATTTATGTACAAATGCAAATAACTCAAATAGTGTTGGCATGCCTCAAAGAAATCCAAATGGAAAATTAACAACGTACTTGCATGTTCTCATTGATGTTTTTTTTTAATGCATTATAATTTTTCTTTGCAGCTTCTATTATGGAATCTGAAAACTCTCTACCATCCCTTGATGAAGTTCAAGTTTTGAAGGTAACCTTTTTCTTCTTAGTATTTTACATGTTGTGTCTCAGACAAAAATACTGTAATCCATTTTGATTGCTATAGAGATGTTCATAGCAGTTTAAGGGCTTCAGCATTACAATCCTGAATATTTTAAAGTAAACATTTTTGAGCTTGTTTTAAACAGCTTTACACATTCATCTTACCGAGTTATTTCTGTTGTAGAGTAAGTCAGAAGAGATTGAACCGTACCTAAGCGGGCGATGCATATATCTTGTTGGTGAGCTTTGTTACCAGTATTTTCTATAAATAGCTCTTAAGGTCTAAATTTCATTCAACTGTCTAATATGCATATTAAATGTCAGGAATGATGGGCTCTGGCAAAACAACCGTTGGCAGAATTATTGCAGAGGCACTTGGCTATGCATTTTTTGACTGGTTAATCTCTATAGTCTTTTTTAAAATAGGTTATTGTTGATATTTATTGTGAGTTATGTAAATCAGTGATAATAGGAAAATACGAACTTGGGTACACATGCTTTTGTGTTTAAACAAGCCACAACTATCCTTACTATGTTGTTATCTAATGAATATGAATTATTTTACCTTGTGAATACTTCAGTGATACACTTATAGAGCAAGCTGTTGGTGGAACAAGTGTTGCTGAAATCTTTAAGCTACACGGCGAGGGCTTCTTTAGAGACAATGAGGTAAGTAACAGAAATCTTTTCTCCTTGCATCTTCTTCATCATTCTTCTCAATTCTCATGTATGTGGAAGCATTCCATGCTTTGCTCTTTAGATATCTCCTAAACAATAGTGTAATCAAAACTTTCCCTGCACAATGGTGAAGGGATTGAAATTGTTGTGTACCACTCTCACTTCCTTGTACACAGTGGCGTGCAGTAGCCATGTGGCAAAATAAGGCTATCTGATGCAATAAAGTGTAGTGGAAGCTTGGACCATATAAACACAAGGGCACTTATAGTAGTAGGTGATTGTTTTCCACAAAATATATTGCTTAAAACTTAAATAAGGGTTGCCTTATTGGATGTGCAGAGATGAAACAAAGGCTGCTCAGTGTCAAATGGTTCAATTCTTATCAGTTTATCTTTCTTATTCCTTGTACTGAATAATTATGTTTTCTACTTCTGCATTTTAGACAGAGGTCTTGCGCAAGCTTTCTTTGATGCGTGAGGTTGTTGTTTCCACTGGTGGGGGTGCGGTTGTTCGGCCCATTAACTGGTACAAACATTTAAGCATCAAATACAAAGTCTTGCTTTTAGTATTTATATAATCAAATTCTTTGTCTGCCATGCCATTAGCTGGTGATGTTTTCTGGAATTCGCGCAGGAGATATATGCACAAGGGTATTAGTGTCTGGTTAGATGTACCTGTGGATGCCTTAGCTAGGAGAATTTCAGCAGTTGGAACTCATTCCCGGCCCCTATTACATAATGAATCTGGGGACATTTATGCCAAGGTTTACAACTTAACCCTAAAATTGCACATCTGGAAATGGCTCCAAATTTCTAATTTGATTATGAATGTTGAGAAAGACAGTAGAAATACTAATGCTTGCTTTGTTGGGATACTTTTTTTTTTTTACTCATATAGACTCTCAAACGTTTGTCTACACTTCTGGACGAGAGGGGGGATGCATATGCCAATTCCAAAGCTAGGGTTTGCCTAGAAAGTATGAAATCATTGTGTTCTGTTTTAGTTCCAATCATACTTCTGTTAAAATGTCTTGAGAATAACGGTGTAAGCTTTTTCAGATATTGCTGCAAAAAGCGGTTGCATTGATGTTTGCACTATCACTCCTATGGAGATTGCCATTGAGGTCCGTCTCCTTGTCTCTCTTTCTCTCTCTTTTATTTCTGTGTATATCCAATCTTTTCTTGCAATTGTCTGCATTTATAGCATTTTTTAGCATGTGAATGTGGTTTCTAGCATTTTTTACACTCTAAATCGATACATAGGCAACAATAAGTATTTGCATAGCTAACTTGGTCTCGCTCACATCCAGGCACTTGTACAAATTGGAAACTTCTTGAAGAAAGAAAGTAGAGAAGTGCATTGAGCTCCATCATATACATGCATTTTGGGTGGTAGCTCCTCTGCTTCTGTTTTTTTTTTTTTTTTTTGTTCTTCTTTTTCCTGTCCAACGACAACATGTAATAGGAATAGTTGTTTGGAAAGACTAAAAACATATGCTGCATTATTTGGTCAAAATATCTCTGAGGTCCCTTTACTATAGTGTTTTGTTCAATTTAGTCCTTCTAATTTAATTTTGTTCATATTAATCCCTATACTTTAAAAATTGAAACAATTAAGGACAATAACTGATGTGAGCAAATATTATGTATTTATTTTGGACATATTAATGTAATATATTGATGGTAAAACTGTAAAATTAATTAATTTTAAATATTTATAAAAAAATATATATATGAGTTGGCATGTAAGTATGATGACGTGGTAGAGATAATGTCAACGCCATATAAGTTATTGTCCTTAATTGTTTCACTTTTTAAAGTACAGGGATTAAATTGAATAAAGTACAAGGATTAAATTGAACAAAATTAAGGTAAAAGGACTAAATCGAACAAAACATTATAGTACAGGGACCTCATAGGTACTTTGACCGCATTATTTTGTCTGTGTCCTTGATAAAATGTTGTAGATTTGTCTAACATTTTGCTCATTAAAAGTTATGAGTGCCATACTAGTAGCTTATTTTGAAAATAAAAATAAAAAGTTAGTAGCTTATTTTGAGACAAATAAATTATTATTTAAAGTTCCCATGTTTTACTAAAACAGAGTTTATATAATCCATAAATCTCATCATCTCATTTGTAGAAAAGATGTTGATGAGGCATAGAGACACTTCATGTCTTAATGCATGCTCCAACAGATGAGCATAGCATCTATGGTACTGTTCGATTTATATATCCACAACTTCAAATGATAAAATTTTCCCTTCTTCTTTCCTTTCATTCTTCACTATCTCCCATCGACACAAACATTAGATCCTGATAATGGCTTGAAGGATATGAATTCCAATTAATGAAACAAAGACTAAAAATACATTTCAACAGTTTATGAGATAGATAGTGGGGAATGTTATCTCCTGATAACTCACTCTTATACAATCAAAATACAAACAGATATGAAAAGAGTTTAGGTGTTATACAAAAATTATTGACAGAATATGCCTTGCTACCTGCCTGCATTAGCATTAACTAACGAAAGGTATGACCATACTGCTTCATTTAAGAAGGGAGCAAAAGCCTCGAACAGTTTGAATCTTTTGCCTTCTGAGGGGAGGGGAGGGGAGGCAAGTGATATACCATTCTCCTCGAGGGCACGCACTGCTGAAGAAATATCAGGTAGCAAATAGATCAACTTGCGTAGATCAAGCATGCATGTTGGAAATTGGAATATCATATCCTTGCACACACATCTTTCACGATTTGAATAATTTTACCATTTGTGCAAGGTACAAGCTTCACACCCAATCACTCTGCACCCTTCTGTAGTCTTACAGATGTAGTTCATTGATTCTGCAAATATTGGTAGATGCATTAGAAGCCATTTACCAAAAAAAATGAAAAGACACTTGTACCTTGATAACGGTATAAAAATCCTAGAAACAAACAAAATAGAAATTGTTTGTAACCACCAACTGAAAAAAATAAAGGCAAAAAATTTTTCAGTTTGTTCTGATAACGAATAGTGTGTCCAGTTTAGTATGCATTTGTATGCCAAGAATTTTAATTCTATTTTTTTGGATAGAATGTTAGACCATGGGTAATATTTCCCAACCTCACTCAAAATGGTACATTATCCTCTAAAGTTGGAATTCGAAATTCACAAATCTTGCTTATATTGATACACCATGATTGGATTTTCCATATCCTGGATTCTGGAAATGTGTCTCTCCAGCCCCACTCAGTCATTATTCTGCTCACTCCTCCTAGTACAGTCATGTATGCAATTAACAATCCCGAAAACGGTCATCTTGGTGTTATAGGCCAGGATATCTAGGATCGCGTCACAGGCTTAGAAACATAGGAATAAAAACGAAGCTTTTCTGGAGTGCTTCTTCTCCCCAAATGAAGCGTTTTTTTGGAGTGCTTCTTCTCCCCAAATGAAGCGTTTTATAGAAAGCCATTTCTTCTAATACCTAGGCATCTATTTATAGAAAATAAAAACTACCCACTACCTTAAAGTGCTCTAACTACCTAAGAAAGTGGTCATCCCACTACTACAATAATAATAATAACTGCAGCAACACTTGTATCATTTCCCCGCCCATCAAAATCACCTTGTCCTCAAGGTGATGGTACACAGTGCCGGGCGACGTCCCAACGAGCTGGCAGCAACGCTGGCTGGAAACGACACAGCAGCTGGAGTTCGCACGGTGGAGACTGATGCGGACTGCCCCCCTGGCCTTGACGGCGCTGGAGCTGTCTCGGAGTTCGTCGGTGGTGCTGCGTGGCTGCTGGAGGTGACAACTGGCTCCTTCCCGGCCAGAAATTGTCGAAACATTGCATGTAATACAGCCTGGTCAGCCAGCACTGCACGAAGCGAATGGACCACCCCGCGAATCGCAGTAACAGAGTCGGCCAACGTTGTGTTGCCCATGACGACTGACTCTGATACCAAATGTTATAGGCCAGGATATCTAGGATCGGGCTTAGAAACATAGGAATAAAAACGATGCTTTTCTGGAGTGCTTCTTCTCTCCAAATGAAGCGTTTTTTTTGGAGTGCTTCTTCTCCCCCAATCTTCCATTTAATAGGAAGCCAAAATACAAAGTTCCCAGATGTCCCTTCTTCTAATACCTAGGGCATCTATTTATAGAAGATAAAAACTACCCACTACCTTAAAGTGCTCTAACTACCTAAGGAAGTGGTCATCCCACTACTACAATAATAATAAGGTAAAGTGCTCTAACTACCTAAGGAAGTGGTCATCCCACTACTACAATAATAATAATAATAAGGTAAAGTGCTCTAACTACCTAAGGAAGTGGTCATTCCACTACTACAATAATAATAATAATAACTGCAGCAACACTTGTATCACTTGGAGTCTTGGACTCTCCAATTCAACGAATATATGAATAGCATATATAGAAGCACATTCACCATCTTCAGATAGTGTTAACTAAATTAAATGGACAGTATTTGTAATGCCACATTCAACATAAAACATAATATACATACTCATATCGATCACAGCTTGAATTTCACCAGCTAAACTAAGCTAACACGAAATGAAATTACGGGTATAAGTAATAAACACTTAAAACAAAGCTCGAAAGAAAGCAATAACATTACCATTTACCATACCATGGGTGAAGTGGTGAAGTAGAGATCACAATATCAAATGTCAACAGCCATACAATGCACAATGGAGGCACCATTTGGAACAAGATGAATTGCGTCGGACCATATAAGGGTCCCACTTAAATCCCCATTTTCATCCTTCCTAACCTTAATCTCTGCACACATTATCTGAATCTCCTTACTGCTACCTTTGCCTTCCCACACCACACACAATCTCTCATCAAAGTTCACCATTGTTGCACCACACAAGAACCTTGGCAACCTATTCTCCACTCCCTTGAGCTCCTTCCACACATCTTCTTTCACATCATATCCCCTAATTTTGCCCAAATAATCATAACAATACAGCACCCCACCCACCACCGCTGCCCGCCCCCTCCACCCCAAGTCTAGCCGCTTTGGGACAGACCCCCACTGTCCAGCCCCCACATCGTACACCACCCCGCCCCTATCCGCCATTGCATACACTCTACCATCCATTACTGTGCTGGCATGCATCCATTTGTCCCGGACCTCAATCTGGCTAGGGAAAGCTGACCACGACCCGGAAACCGGGTCAAAAACCTCAGCCCAGTTCATCGATCGGACCCAGTTATCAACAACGCAGCCACCCATCACGTAAATCCTCCCGCCCACCACTCCGGCAGCGGCAAACTCCCTGCTAATCTTCATTCTTGGCCCCACTTCCCAACAATTAAACCAACAATCGAAAACCCATACATGGTTGGAAGGAATATCGTTGATAGATCCACCAATTACATAGATTTTATGACCCAAAACTGCATAAGCGGCGCCGATGGGCCTTGAAGGGATGGGCGGGAGAAGAACAGGGTTTCTGGTATTGGGGGAATTGGGGCGCTGGAGGAAAGTGAACCAGTGGGAAGCGGAGTTGATGCGGAGGTTGAGGTAGAGGAAGGTCTGGGTGGTGCGGAGATGGGATCGAGTGGCGAAGAGCGCAGGTGAACAACGCAGAGTGAACCTCCATGATTTGCAGACTAGAGAGAGGATGGGGTGGTGTATCCGAGGGACCCGAGCCAGGCACTGCATAGCGACATCGTTTGGGAGGCCGGGGATCAACTGCGTCGAGGGTAGCTCCATGCTGCTCCGCTCCGCCATCGCTTCGCCGGCGAGGAAGCTTAGCAACGGGAAGACGAGCGGTCTAAATTCATAAGGCTTCTTAGGTTGTGTTTATCAAACACCCAATGAGTCATGCTTTTATAACTATTATAAAAGCTAATTCCATAAGTACAGCAAACAACAAGTTGAGATGGTTGAGTTGGTTTAAGGCGTCAAATTAAAATTCTAGTCTGAAAAGGTGTGACTTCAAATCTCACTCTCAACAATACCATATTATGACTTTTAGCAATACAATTCTCACCCTGTAATTTAAAAAATGTAATCTATTTTTGCCCTAAAATTAATCTATATTATAATTTTCCCACCTTTTTTTTAAAATTAAAAACGTAATCTATAATATAATTTTTCTTAAAACCGTAGTTCATTAATAGTAAATCAATATACTACAAATCAAATTTCATTTCTCTACTCTATTAAAACTAGTTACCACATGTGCATTGTGCAAATTGTCCAATGTTCAATGTGTATTTTTAAATTAGTGTTGGTAGGATATATCCCGACCGACCTAAGATGTTTTCCATGTGGGTTAGTGCAAGTTTCTTAGCTTGGGCGCTGCAGCGAAGGGATGGTCGGTACCGGGTGTCCATGCACCTTTTGTATTGCTCTTCTGTCAAAGTCAGTCGGACCCGACCGATGTTCTGCCCGACCACCGTACCTTTGTTCTACGAAGAGACAGTATCTTTAGAGAGGGGCACATGGCGACTCTAGGTGTTGACAGAGAATGCTCACCAGGTTGGGGCACGTGGATGTTACGTGGATTACATGCCGATAGGGCGGAGGGTTGTTCCCGGCTAGAGGCTATAAATATCCACGACGGCTAGAGTGAGGGGGACTTTTGGAACGATCAATAGGCTATTTACAGAGCTACCCGACCGTAGTTAGTCGGCCCTCGGAATAGTCATTTAGATTGTATTAGGTCACCCTTCTATATGAGATAGTGTAACAACCCAAAATTTCATTTTATAAATCCACTGTTAAGAAATCCCAAAGTAGCTTTTTCACTCCATTAAAATTTTTTGCGAGCAATCGGTGTTTGAATAAAATAATTTTTGTTCCATTTAAAGTTAATTCAACACCAAAGAAATGAATTTCATTCGAAAATTCCAAAGTTTTCGGGTACTTTGCGTACCAAGATTTAAATCGAGAATTTTACTCGAGTGAGACCGGGAGAATTAAAAAGGGGATTTTGAACAAGTGTTCATCTATTTAGCTTTTGGGAAAATTCACTTTCCACCCCAAAGTAATAAAGAAATATCATTTTTAGTCTATAGTTCATGATGCATGGTAGACCACAAGACATCCAAAAATCCCTTATAAAGTCATCTTTTAGCTTGGGGAAATTACCCCTTTGCCCTCAACCAATCATTGTGTATCATCCTAGGGTTTTGAACCCTATATAAACCCTTCATTCCATCACATTTTCCTTATCTCATTTTCATTGCCTCTTCCTCACATTTGTCTGCCAACATCCAAGGAGAAAAGCTTCAACCTAGTAAGCTTGTTCATCCTCCTTTCTAGCATCATTTCCCTTCTAGTTTTCTTTAGTCTTTAAGAATATAGGTTAAGGATAGAGGGTGTGTTGGGAAGTGTAGGTGGTGAAGGAGGCTCAAGCTAGACCAAGAGGAAGAAGAGATCCAAGCAAGAAATCTAGTCTACAAGAGGTATAACCCCATGGATTCCTCTTTAGATTTGGCTCTGTGAAGCCTAGTTTTGAGTAGAAATGAGTAGAAATTATGAGCTTTTGATGTGTTCATGCTTAGAAATGCTTTGATATGTGTTTATGAGTTGTTGAGTTTGTTTTGGACATGTTTGGACAAGTTTTTGCAGGTGAAAAGCTATCTGGTGCACAACACAGTGTGCACCAGACCAGAGTGGCGGCCCTAGCCGCGGCCCATCAGAAGGGCCGCCGGCTAGAGTCGTGCCACCACGGGACTAGGGCATGGCCCTAGAAGAGGGTTGTAGCCTAGCCCCGGCGTAGTAACGGGACTATAGGGGTGGACCATGAAGAGTCCCGCCCCAAGTCCCTGAGTATTGTTCTGATGAGATGTTGTGCAGTGGCCGGGCCCTTGTGGCTCAGCTACGTGTCGTTTCGGACTGAGTGTTATGTGCCCTTGTGGCTCGGTTCTTCGGGATTGTCTTGACGCACGTCTTGGCTTTGATTTGGTTGAATTTGGATTAAAAACGAGTATGCTATGAATGATTTTGTGAAGAAATGTTTCATAAAGTATATTTTGCTAAGTTCTCTGTGTTTGAGAAATTGATGATTTTGTGATCAAATAATGTTCTGATTAAGTAAAGAAGCATGATCCTTTGAGAATAGGATTTATTATGAAAGCATGATTAATATGTATTATTTGATCCATGAAAATAGAAGCATACTTGTTGAGTGAAATGTATAGAAATTGCTATTTTTACTAACCGAGCATGATGATATAACCTTGAATAATTCATGTTAATGTATACATGATTTAGAAGCATGTTATAGAGCATTTGACATTTCACATGAGTCATATTTCAAAAATGCATAAAGGGTCAACGTGAGTCCAAGAATACTTTCAAAAACCATACGCATGTGGTATATCATTCTTTGATGCATTGAGAAGTAGTAGAATTGTTGCATGCATGAGATTGATGCATGAGAGATATATTTATGTAATATTTATATCGGTGAGGTTTTGGAGGATAGCGTTTGGACTATGTTCCTCTCGGGAGATATTTATGGACATTGCGGTCCCAGAGTATGTAACGCGGCGTATTTCCATGTTACGAGGTTGGAAACTTCCCGCCGGGCTTGGAATCCTGGTTAGAGGGTGTGCACACTAATAGTTCGATACCTGATTCCAAAGAGTTTGAACCACAAGATTGGTTCCGTAGATGGTAGGAGATATTGAGTCAGAATTATGCCGTTCCCGATAGGATAAGTCACACTTCTGTGAGACCCTAAGCCATCTACGAGTATAAGAGAAAGAAAGAGAGTTAACAGAAACTCAAGAAATAGAGTCAACAGAGACTCAATTATGAGAGTCAATATAGACTCGATAGAAAGAAAGAGAGTCAAGAGAGACTCGAGAAAGTAACAAAGAAACCTCCATAGAAAGTACTCTATTTTATATATGAGTGTATGATTATATTGCTGCACTAGATTGCATAAGAATATGAGTATATTGTTGCATGAGATTGCATAAGAATATGAGTATGTTGTTTCACTAGATTGCATAAGAGTATGATTATATTGTTGCGCTAGGTTGCATAAGAGTATGATTATGTTGTTGCACGAGATTGCATAAGAGCATGAGTATATTGTTGCACGAGATTGCATAAGAATATGAGTATATTGTTGCACGAGATTGCGTAAGAGCATGAGTATATTGTTGCACTAGATTGCATAAGAGCATGACTATTTTGTTGCACTAGGTTGCGTGAGAAGCATGATCATAATGTTATACATGATTGTATGCGAATAGAGTATCGTAAAAGATTGTTTAATGAGAAAACTAACTGAAGATATTCTCTTGAGCACGGTTATTTTGATGTAGTAGAAGTTCTACTTAATAAGTTATGTGATAAGAGCGTGATCGCATGTGAACACCTGTTATATGATCTTTAAACATGATCCTATCTGTAAGCATGAATTGCTTGATAAGCTATTTGAGAAGTCTACATGTTGATGAATATACGTGATTAGTCTTATACATATATAAGCTTGTCAGTTGTTATTATAGGGTGCAAGCATCTAGAAAGAATACGATAATCTAAAGATGGTTTGAGATTAATTTATTGATATAATGATATCAAATGTTTTCCAAGTACATGCTAGAATGCTTTACAGGGTTGAGTGTGGTTATACTTAGCTTCGTGCTAACGGGTGTTTTCCTGTTTGTCTATGTGTTGCTTGCAAAACCCCTTTCAGGTGGGCCCAGCAGTGAGAGAAGATCGAGTTAGATTAGTCTCTTAGTTTGAGCTGTCTAAACTCTAGTTCTATTTATGATGTCTTTATGGATTTAGACTTATGACCCTATACTTTATGATGATGTTTGTAGATTGTTTTGGGGTGACGTATTTCCCCCTTACTTTTCAGTATTTACTTTAGTACCCAGACTTAATCGTATGTTATAGTTTTACCCCTTTTAGCCTGTGCAATCACCAAGAGTGGTGGTTGTGGCGGTGACACCCTCACTACTTTTATCTAGTTTTCTGCTGCTTAATTTATGTTAAAGTCTGTTTAGAGAGATAATTAAGAGTTAGAAAAGTGGGGTGTTACAGATAACCTCTTCTTATTCATATTATCATTTTACATACAGTACGTAGACCGCATACACGTGGACATTAGTACTATCATTTTGGCGCCATCTGTGGGGACCGGTATGAAAAGTCGTTTGTGACGCGTATCAAACCTCAACCATGTATCCCTTCATGTACCAACAAGAGGATGAAGAAGCTAGTTCATCCGACCATTATACACAACAACACGGTCAGACTGTTGACCTCAACCTCAACCTTTCTCCACCTCACTCGGTCGCTCCTAATGCGGTCAATTATGTCCAACCGATGTATCCGCCACCTGGTCAACAATTCCCCTACCCGGGATATTATCCACATCCCGTGCCACCTACCCAATATGCTTGTTGGCCCGGGACCCCAATGTATTACCCGCCCAGTACCTATCAACCTTATATGCCTGCGTACACGGCTCCAGCTTCTGATCCCCCGAACCAACCAGCGATGCAGATCGAGCCCGAGCTTCAGCCTGGTCCCTGGACTAGGCGCTCGGCTCGCTCGAGGTTGGGTTCGCAGGGGGCGGGGGCCATGGAGGAACCACGGTAGGAAAGACATGCCCAGGTGGGATGAACCCGAGCTAGAGGATAACCGTGCGAGCCCGTTTGAACGACTTCGGCCGGCAATGCGTCAACGATTGGGACCACAGGACCCGGACAGGCGATCGGTCGATTCACCTATGCAAGCGGCCAGTCAAGCGGGATCATCAGGACACAGTGGACCTCAGGTGCATCGTCGTCGTCGGGCTCGTGAACTAGCCCGTACAGCTGAGCAAGACGATACTCGAGGAATAGTGAACGAGCTCCGTGCATAATTCACTCGGTG